TACTCATTTGAGGGCTGAGTCGACCTAGGGGAGGCCCGGGACCCGTTCAGATAGTCGTCACCACTGGTGTTGGCCGTGAGCGGGAATCGAACTCGGGTCGCCGGGTTCATAGCGCAGCACGCTAACCACTACACCACCGCTCCCCTCACCAACACACACACGTGAAACTTACAGATACTGGATAAGGAACTGTACATCAAATGCATGCGCTATTCATTACAGACCACATTGAGTTGTCTACGCATTGACCAACACCACAGACCACAGCATGCACATCACCTATTGGCACAGAGCGAGTGGCGAGAATGATTGTACACACACGTGTACGGACACACACGTGTACGGACACACACACACACGTGTACAGACACAACACGTGTACACACACACAAGTGTACAGCCACACACACACGTGTACAGCCACACACACACGTGTACAGACACACACACACGTGTACAGACACACACACATGTACACCCACACACACATGTACACCCACACGTGTACAGCCACACACACGTGTACAGACACACAAACACGTGTACGGACACAAACTCACCTACAAAGATCCCCCGTATATCCTGTTTGGGGCAAGTGCTGTTAGCGAGCACCTACGAAAGCCGGCACGACAGACGAGGTGGGTGGCCAACACAACACCCGGTCGCCTTTGTCTCCCTCGTGGCGCTGTTTACACACCGCACCAGATATCCCCTTGAGGCTGAGTCGACCTAGGGGAGGTCCCAGAACCGGTTCGTCACCGGTGTTGGTGGCCGTGAGCGGGAATCGAACTGGGGCCGCCTGGTTTGCAACCACTGCTCCAACCCTCCCCGCTAACAGCACTTGCCCCAACAGTCTGAAGGCGATACGGGGGATCTTTGTCAATACACGCGCACACACACGCGCACATACACGCTTCCTAGAATAGACAGACGTCTACAGTCTTTTCCATACATGCATTGACATACACAAACAGACTTACATTCATACGCATACACACAAGACACATGCGCACATGCGCATCGCACCCTTGCACATTAAGACATACAAAGACAAAGATCCCCCGTGTAGCCTGTAACAAGACTGCTGGGGCAAGTGCCGTTAGCCGGCACCACGCCCGGCCCGCCTTTGCCTCCCCAGTGCGCGATGATGTTTACACATACCGCACCAGGTACTCATTTGAGGCCGTGAGCGGGAATCGAACTCGGGACGCCGGGTTCGTAGCGCAGCGTAGCGCTTAACCGCTCCCTGCACACACCCTTGACAAAATATATTTCAGAGGGACACATACAATGGACACACGAAACGTACACGTACAATTGCGCTCGGACACTCATACTCACACAGACAACCACCTACATAAGACATACACTAACAGACAAATAAATACAGACACAGACACGGTCGTGCGTACGCACTCATGTAGGTGCTCACACGTGTACTCCACGCGTGCTGCACGTGCACACGAGTGAACATTCAAATGCACGTACCCACGCAACGCACACACAAATGCGCAAACAGTATGCACACCCGAAGACGTACAACATACGCTGAGCGGACAGATTTGCACTACAACGGCTGTGTACATGTAAATTAATTGGTTTATGCAACGCCCCGCGTTCTCTATGAAACCTGGCAACAACGACAGCTGCGTCGCTGCTACTACCGATTGTCACTCCGTCAACATCTGCACGAAATCTAAACCTTGGCCACGACAATTTGCAATCTATTTAAACCACAGTAAACCCACACCCGGCCGCCTTTGTCTCCCCCCCCTCCTAGCACGCGACGTTGCAACAGGCGCTGCGAATTTACTACGTCGAGTGGACCTAGAGGAGACCCAGGCCAGTAATCACACGTGTCTCACCGCCTTTGTAATGTCCTCCCACAACCTACCATTGACCTGGTGTCACTGTTACAACTGGCACGAGCCACTTTACACTGTATGCTGAGTGGACTTAGAGGGCCAGGGAAAATAATTATGGATGCGGTGATGATGGGGCCGCAGGTCATAATGATTGTTCATGGTGGCAATGATTTACGGGCTCATGATGATGATGATCGGAGGGACTTGGCCGGGTATGCACAATTCGTTTCTTACGTAATTTTAAACATTCCACATTATCATAGACGAGACCCCGACGCACCAAGACAAAGATCCCTCTATGAAGGATGGCACGGTACACGAGGGGGGTGACCAACACCACGCCCGGCCGCCTTTGTTTCCCCAGAGCTGGTGTTTTAAGCACCGCACCAGGTACTCATTTGAGGCTGAGTCGACATAGGGGAGGCCCACTTGGTGTTGGCCGTGAGCGGGAATCGAACTCGGGACGACGGGTTCGTAGCGCAGCGTAGCGCTCACCGCTACACTACCGCTCCCCACGCACTCACACACACACACGCTCGTGACTCACGTGGCTTTGGAGATCCCTGGGGGGGGAGAGGGGGTTTGTGTTTTTTGTTATTTGGTGTTTTCCGTTTTTTTCCCTATCGTCCCCCAGTAACGCGGACAGCTTCATCCAAACACCGAGGCCCGAGCGTCTCAATGGAAAGTGCTTTTTGACAACTTAGTGAGGGAGCGGGGGAACACGAGAGACGAGACAAAGACTCTCCATGTTCGCCTTCGACAGACTGTTGGGGCAAGTGCTGTTAGCGAGTAGCACCTATGAAGGCCGGAACGGAACACGATGGTGGGTGGCCAGCCATAAGCCAGGTCCGCCTTTGTCTCCATCGTTTGAGATGTTTACTACACACCGCACCAGGTACTCATTTGAGGCTGAGTCGACCTAGCGGAGGCCCAGGACCGGTTGAGATAATCGTCACCGGTGTTGGCCGTGAGTGGGATTCGGGTCGCTGGGTTCATAGCGCAGCGCGCTAACCGCTATGCCACCGCTCCCCATACATACACATATACACACGTACTCACATATACATACAAGCATACCCACATACATTTAGACACATGCAGACGTAAACAAGCATATTCATAAATAAATATAAACACAATGATACATACCTGTCATAGATACACATACTTCCACGCACTCATACACCAAGATAAATACACCTACATATACACACACTCACATATACACACACTCACAAATACCCACCCACTCACAAATACACACACGCCTACACATACACACACTCACAAATACACACTCATAAATACACACACACACTCACAAATACACACACACTCACAAATACACACTCACAAACACACAGATACACGCTGGCAAATACATACATACTCATAAATACACATGCCTACACACACACTCACAAATACACACACACTCACAAATACACACACACTCTCAAATACACACACACACTCACAAATACACACTCACAAACACAGATACAGATACACGCTGGCAAATACATACACACTCACAAATACACACGCCTACACACACACTCACAAATACACACACACTCACAAATACACACACACTCACAAACACACACACACACTCACAAATACACACACACACAAATACGCACACACACTCACAAATACACAAACACCGATACAGATACACGCTGGGAAATACACACTTACAAATACACACACGCCTACACATACACACACTCACAAATACACTCACATACACACACTCAAAAATACACACACTGACACGTACACACACACGCACTCACACACTTTCACACGCGGTGACGCTGCGCTCCGTGGGGTCAGTGGCTGTGGGTGGCGGGGCGAGTGGAGGGGGACGGGTTCGCGTCGGGGTGAGGGTTACAGCGCCGTCACATCACCACAGGCGCACGGCAAGCAGAGACGTTGACCACGACGATGATGATGATGGCGATGGGTGCTGGAGTGAGTGAGGTTGGGGGGGGGGGCGAGTGGAGGGGGTGGTGATTGGGGGGGGGTAAGCTGAGAGGTTTGAGCGACGGGAGGGGGTGCGAGATTTCGCTATGAAGTCATGGACGCCGCACGCACGTGTCCACTGCACGTGTCCACTGCACGTGTCCAATGCACGTGTCCACGCACGTGTCCAATGCACGTGCGCGTCAATACACGCACACACACGGGTGTGCGCTCTACAGACGGTGTGAAGGTGTTGGTGCTCGGTGTGACGGTGTTAGTGTGATGGGTGTTGGTGCTGGGTGTGGCGGTGTTAGTGCGATGGGTGTTGGTGCTGGGTGTGGCGGTGTTAGTGTGATGGGTGTTAGTGCTGGGTGTGACGGTGTTAGTGCGATGGGTGTTGGTGCTGGGTGTGGCGGTGTTAGTGCGATGGGTGTTGGTGCTCAGTGTGACGGTGTTAGTGTGATGGGTGTTGGTGCTGGGTGTGGCGGTGTTAGTGTGATGGGTGTTGGTGCTCGGTGTGACGGTGTTAGTGCGATGGGTGTTAGTGCTGGGTATGACGGTGTTAGTACTGGGTGTTGGTGCTGGGTGTGAGAGAGTGCTGGGTGTTGGTGCTGGGTGTGAGAGTGTGCTGAGTGTTGGTGCTGGGTGTTGGTGCTGGATCTTGGTGCTGGGTTTTAGTATTGGGTGTTGGTGCTGGGTGTTGGTGCTGGGTGTTGGTACTGGGTGTTAGTACAGGGTGTTGGTGCTGGGTGTGAGAATGTGCTGGGTGTTGGTGCTGGGTGTTAGTACTGGGTGTTGGTGTTGGGTGTTGGTACTGGGTGTTGGTACTGGGTGCGGGTACTGGGTGTTGGTGCTGGGTGTGAGAGTGTGCTGGGTGTTGGTGCTGGATCTTAGTGCTGGGTTTTAGTACTGGGTGTTGGTGCTGGTTGTTGGTGCTGGATGTTGGTGCTGGGTGTTGGTGCTGGGTGTTAGTACTGGGTGTTGGTGCTGGGTGTTGGTGCTGGGTGTGAGAATGTGCTGGGTGTTGGTGCTGGGTTTTAGTACTGGGTGTTGGTGCTGGGTGTTGGTGCTGGGTGTGAGAGTGTGCTGGATGTTGGCGCTGGGTGTTGGTGCTGGGTGTGAGAGTGTGCTGGGTGTTGGTGCTGGGTGTTGGTGCTGGGTGTGAGAGTGTGCTGGGTGTTGGTGCTGGGTGTTGGTGCTGGGTGTGAGAGTGTGCTGGGTGTTGGTGCTGGGTGTTGGTGCTGGGTGTGAGAGTGTGCTGGGTGTTGGTGCTGGGTGTTGGCGAGTTGGACACCATGCACGGGTGCTGTCTGAGCGAGCGCCAGGACACGAAACTCAAGATCCTCGACTCCGCCGCTCCACTGACACCGTCCTGTGACACACACACACACACAAAGGTCCCCCGTGTAGCCTTAGCAGACTGTTGGGGCAAGAGCCTAGCGAGCAGCACCTATGAAGCCCAGCACAGCACACGAGGGGGTGGGTGGCCAGCACCACGCCCGGCCGCCCTTTGTCTCGCCAGTGCTAGTGTTTTACACACCGCACCAGGTACTCATTTGAGGCTGAGTCGACCTAGGGGAGAACCACGGCCGGTCAAAATATTCACCACTGTTATTTGTCGTGAGCGGGAATCGAACTCAGGTCGCCCAGGTACGCATCAACGCACGCGTTAACACAAACACAGCCTCCGTTCACCACTGAGTAACGGTGGACATCACAGCAGCGCTTATGCCAGGCTAGGTGCACACTGAGGCCATGTGAAGACCCAGGTGTTATTACCACAACCAGTCACAACCACAATATATGCAATCATCATTACACTCACAATAAACCACATCATCATCACACTATCACCATAACCATCATGATCATAATCACCATGATCGCAATCATCATTGTAGTTATTATGGTGACCACAATCGCCACCATCATCACCATCATCCTCCCTATCATCATCATCCAGGTGCTGACACTTGCCGCAGCTGCCGTCTTTTGACTGCGAGGGCTGGGGTAAGGCCAGCAGCAGCGGCAGTGGTGGTTGTTGTTGATTGGTGGTGGTGGTAGTTGGTGGTAGTTGGTAGTGGTAGCTGGTGATGGTTGTTGTTGTTGGTTGGTGGTGGTTGGTAGTTGGTGGTAGTTGACGGTGGTTGTTATTGGTTAGTGGTTGTTGGTGATTTTTGGTTGGTGGTGGTTGTTGTTGCAGGGGTTTTTGGTTGGTGGTAGTGGTTGTTTTTGGCTGTTGATGGTGGTGGTTTTTGATTGTTGTTGGCTGGTGGTGCTTGGCAGTGGTGGAGTGTTGGGGCGAGGGAGCGGGCGAGGTTGCGAGCCACATCTTCTTCTCATTTTGCATTTCGATATGAAAGGAGCTGCACCTGAGTGAAGCAGAGAGAGAGAGGGGAGTGGTGGTGGGGGTTGTCCGGGGCCCGTAAGCCGCGGTGGAATGCGCGATCACTCGGCGGTTAATGCGACAAAGATGCAGCACCGTGGATCCGTGGCCCACGGATTGCTCCCCGCGCCATGCCGCACGCGGGGAGCCTCAAAGAGCCGTCGCTGGATTCACGCTCAATGTCATATATAAGCAGAAAGAGTTAAGGTATCGCGATGGCAAATTAATTTTTTTGTTCGTGTTACTATTTTTATTTTAGCAGGTAAGGCCCAATGTGCTATATGTAGCAATTTCTTTCAGGAGCGAACTGGCTACTCACGAATGATAGTTCACGGAAGAGGCTTATCATGGTCGTGTGGAAATTTACGGCAGTCAAATACTCTAAACGCGACGCCGATTCTAAACGTGGAGGGGAAAAGCAACCGGAGGACCCGCAGAAAAATCCACGCGACCACGGGGAGAGAGACACCGCAGACCCCAAATGTACAGCAGGCGTCAGGGTCGGGATCAAACCATCGGCCTCCTGTAGACCAGCCGAGGGAGTTCACATCTCTTGACTGTCACTACTGACTACAGTGCTGCTCCTGTCTGTGTGGGGGGACGCTTCCGCGGCGGTGGGGTTAGTGGTGAGCACCACGCTGGGGTTTGCGATCCAGAAGGTTGCAGGGGTTCGATTGCGTCTCCTGGCACAGCGGCAACTGCGCATATCTATGTTGAGCTTCTTCCGCACCGTACGTAGCCAGCCGTGCTAATCGGAGGTGCGGGTGAAGGACAACAAACCAAACGCAAAAAAGCAGTCCTAAAGAAATTCGTTTTCAATCGAGATAATTTCTACGTTTGAACGCTCCAGTTCCACCCCCCCTCCCCTCCTCCTCCCCTCCCCTCGACGAATGCCACTGTCCACCCCGCTGTGTCCACTGGCAGGTCGCGTGGGGTGGGGTGGGGTGCTCCCACCTCTTCCAAGACGTCTATGCTTGACCAGCGTGGAAGAAGATTAGGAGGCGTGAAATTGCCTCCGAGAAGGGGCTCCTTGAGAGCTCCCTCCTCTAGCGGAAGGGGACCCCCCCCCCCACCCTTTCAGCTCCGGCAGTGATGCGAGCTCGAGCGATTGCAGGGGCTGCGCCTTGAGCTTTTGTACACATGCTGAACTTCTTTCGCGCCGTATGTAGCCAACCGTGCCCATCGGAGGTGGACCGGCTTGGCTACGGCGTTGGTTCGAGAGTTTCAGGGTCAGTGCAATTTCACAAATTTGCCATGACCTATCAACTGCTAGATGAATGCCCCCTCCCCCACCACCCGCCCTCCCCCCGCCCCCTCATCTATCAAAAGTCCTGCTAAGCCACAATCCACCCGGCGGCTCCTGCACAGGGGGATCTGATCTCGGCGGTCGCTGCGTCTCCTGGTGAGGACGCCTCCCCCGCCGCCTCTCCATTGTGCGTTCCACCGCGAATTCCCCTCGCTCAGCGCGGACAGACGGCTCGAGGCGCGTGCTCTTAGCGAGCGCCTAGTAGGGTCAGCACGACACACGAGTGAGCGGTGTGGGGGGGGGGGGGGGTGGGCAGGTGGGGGCGGCGCGGGGAGCGGTGGCAAAGCGGTTAGCGCGCTGCGCTCCGAATCCGGTGACCCGAGTTCAATTGCCGCTCACGGCCACTAACACCGGTGACGATTATGTGAACCGGTCCTGGGGCCTTCTCCCTTGGGTCAGTCGCGCAACGAGGAAATGAGACTGGCGTCGTGTGACGACCAATCGCCGGGCAGATCGACGTTTAAAGGTAACCAAATCATCAATAACACTGCCTTAGAAAACACACACAAGTCTATAACACTGCGACGTTTTGGCCAATGTTGGTTTTTCTACAATCGGTTTTCTACGAATTATTAAAAAAAAAAACCCCGCAACCCAGTGCCCGGATAATCTTCAGATCACTGCCATCCATCTCGTACAACCCCTCGATTCGGCGTAAATATTCACCACCTCCCCCCCCCCTCCTCTGTAAACGTTTCATCCGTTGCCGCATCCCCGCATCCAACGTCGATGACTTGGTGCGGACGGGTCTGTCGCGCGGTGTTTTGCAGCCGCGGCCCCGGCACGCGCCGCAGCTGCTCTGCGTCGTCGGCTCGTGTCAAAGCGGACCCCTCGCTGCGGAGAGCGGAACGTTTGGGTCTGAGCGGGCCCTCACCTGGCTTCAATAAAGGCTCCGCCTGTCTGCCTACCTGTCTGCTTGCCTGCCTGTCTGCTTGCCTGCCTGTCTGTCTGCCTACCTGTCTGCTTGCCTGTCTGTCTGCCCGGCTGTCTGCCTACCTGCCTGCCTGCCTGCCTGTCTGTCTGCTTGCCTGTCTGTCTGCCCGGGTGTCTGCCTGTCTGCCTGCCTGTCTGCCTGCTTGCCTGTCTGCCTGCTTGCCTGTTTGTCTCCCTGCTTGTCTGCCTGCCTATCTGTCTGTCTGTCCGGCTGTCTGCCTGCCTGTCTGCCTGTCTGCCTGCTTGCCTGTCTGTCTCCCTGTCTGTCTCCCTGCCTGCCTGTCTGCTGCGTGATGCCGCTGACCACAGGTGCAACAGGCGCTGTTTATTTTCGGCCGAGTCCACCTAGGGAGTGCCCCTGGGGATGCGTTCAGACTGCTGCGGCGGGGGGGGGGGGGGGGGGGGGCGCGGGGCGCGGAGAGGGCGAGGGTCAGGGGATTGGGGGTGCGGGGGGGGGGGGCCGGGAGGATCGAGGGCGGCATCGCGACCAGGAATCCAACCGGTGTGTGCGCCAGGTCCTTGGTGTGGCAGGTGCGCCGCTACCAGATACCGCCGACATTGCCTGCCCGTCTTATACTCCGCGTCTTCGCCGACGGCCTTCGAGCCCAGTGGTGGCAATTCCACATTGCTATGGTGACAGGCACCAGTCTCTGCTCACAACACGGGGGGGGGGGCCGGGGGGGGTCGTCAACCTGCGGGGCTCTCTTTTTTAAAGGGCCGCTGCCTCGTGACGTCATCGAAATATCGAGTGGTTTTAATTTTTGACCGAATTTGAAGAAGAAAAAATAATAATAAACGGCTCTTCTTGATATTTAGAACCCCCGGGCGACTTGCCACACAGTGGCAATCAGTGTGTGGACTACAGGATTCTATGAGGACGACGACGGCGACGATGATTAAGGGATTTGGTCAACCTCAGGCCAGGATTTGAACCCGCAAGCCTTCTGAGTGCGCGAGTCACACGCTATAACCACTGCATCAGCCAGGCGGGTACACAGTGGAGCGGTTAGCGCACTGCGCCGTGAATTCGCCGATCCGAGTTCGATTCCCGCCCATGGCCTTAATCAGCGGCGACCGATATCTAGTACCGCCTCCACCAATCCGCACTGACCAGTGTGGTGAAGTATGGTCAAACAACCCATGACGATGATAGCGGCACGGAAATGACTTCATCTGGCAAAGGAGCCGTGAAACATTATTAAATTGTTCAAACACATTGTACCAGGTATAGTTCTGAGCTATATAGTTTTTTTCACCAGCGACCTGGCCACAGATGATAGCTCAATGAAGTGGCTTAGCACGCGGGCATTTATAGCAGCCAAATACTCTGAACGCACGTTGTTGATTCTAAATGTGGGAAGACCCGGAGAATAATCCACCTGACCACAGGGAAGGATACACTCCAAATATACAACTGGCGTCAGGGTCGGCATCGAAACCACGACCTCCTGTGTACCAGGCGAGGTAGTTAACATCTCGAGAAGGTTTGAACCTTCCCGTCAGCAGTGTCAGGTGCTGTTAAACAAATACCGATAGATGCCAGATATTACGGGCGAGTCCAGACCATCACCACCAGCACTGTTCTGGGCAACGACCGAAGCTCATAAGAAAGTTTATTTTTGGGATAAACCCACCTCCACCCGACACAGCCAATGAGTAAGGTTTGTCACGGCAATGTGAGTTTTCTCTCCAACACAACCGGTGGTGCGGAAGTAGTAACTAATTGCCACGTTTTGTTCCACGTCGC